CTTTAAAAAGACTTAAACATAATTCATGATAATTAGCATGAATCAGAAGGTGAATTGCTTTAACATGAATCATAAACTTGAAAAGTATCTAGATAAGTAGACATAATTCTGTTTGCAAAACTTGTCTGAGAGCACTTATCAATTTGAAATATGCACAATTCTATTCTCTTTATTTATTAGAACTTTGTATGTTTATTAGAATATGTTTGTTTTAATGAAGAGTTGGAAGTAAATAAATGAAAAAAACTGTTTTATTTGTCATAAGCAAGATGATGAAAACTAGCAAATTAAACAGTTCTATTCGGTATTACATGTATATTAATTAACTTTGTTAAAGTGTGTCTTGATTTGTAATTCTATTAATTGATAAAGTTATGGAGAACTATATGGGATTTAAATTATAGCAATACACACTTCCTTTCAGCCATTGATTGACTAAAGATTTTTTTTTTGTATCTTTTTAACTTTTTTAACTTGTAGATTTTTAAATTTCCTCACTGTATTTAGAATGAATAAATACAACAAAAAATAACAACGTAATGTTCTATTAGTGCAAATATAGTATGAATGTAAATTGTTTTTGATTAATTAAAAATAGCTTAATATGTTTTTTAAATGGTGGCATGCATATCAGGTTAGAGAAATGTTAACAATATATAACTATTAGATCTTGTCACATAAACTTTATAGAGCACTGGGTTATGTTATTAATGTAATACAATGTACTTTTAAATTAGTAAAATGTATTTGTTTGCTTGTTTTGATAGCATGAGTGTGTGACTGTTCGTAATAAAAAATGTACAGAACTCATTTGTGCAATTATTTGTTTTTCCCTCTCCTACAGAACTAAATAAGGGCATATAACTTCTTAAAATTTTACTTTCTGATTTTTGATCTTCAAACATGGTACAGTAAAAACTCTGAATACCGGACCCTCTGAAAACCGGAATCCTCTAAAAACCGGACCATTTTAAAAGTCCCGTATTTTTTCCTTAAATGTTCATTGAAAAAAATCCTCTGAATACCGGAACCTCTGAATTCCGAAAACCGGACGTTTTTTATGGTTTCTAATGCTTAACATGCATAACAAATCCTCTGAAAACCGGACAGCAATTTTATATTGATTTGATGACCAGTAGATGACCCCTACTAATTTTTGGGTCAAAGGTCAAGGTCGCATTGACCTTGAGGGTAAAAATTGTTTCCGATCAATAACTAAAGAACTTTTAGGCATTGGAACTTCGAACGTGGTATTATGATTGTTCATGACCAGAAGATGAGCCCTATTATTTTTTGGGTCAATTAAGGTCACATTGATATTATAGGTAAAATCGTTTTCTGATCAATAACTTAAGAACCAATAGGCATAGGAACTTCAAACTAGATATGATGATTGTTCATGACCAGTGGATGATCCCTGTTGATTTTGAGGTCAAAGGTCAAGGTCAAATTTACATTGTTGGTAAAAATGGTTTCGATTAATAACTAAACAAGAGGGCCATCATGGCCCTGAGGTCGCTCACCTGTATATAGGCCCCTGGAGCAGGACCAGTTTAAACCCCAGGGCTTTTATTTGAACAAACTTAAGACACCCATTAGAAGGTGTTTCTTGATGTTAAGTTTTTACTACACATATATAATGAAAAACAATGACCTCTGTCCTCCCCCACCCCCTCCCCCGGCAGGGCCAATTTTTACCCAAGGGTTTTTATTTGAACAAACTTGGTAGACACCCATAAGAAGATGTTTCATGCTAAACATCTAAGCTCATTGGGTTTTTTAAAATAAGATTTTTTAAGTTTTTACTATACACATAAAGATAAAAGCAATGACACCCCTGGGGCATGGCCAGTTTTGACCCCAGGGATTTTATTTGAACTAACTTTGTAGACACTTACCAGAAGATGTTTCATGCTTAATATCTAAACTCTAGCTATTTGGGTTTTTCAAAGAAGATTTTTAAGTTTTTGCTATACACCTATATCAGGAAAATCAATGACCCCCAGGGCGGGGCCAATTTTGACCCCAGTGCTTTTATTTGAACAATCTTGGTAGACACCCATTAGAACACGTTTCATGCTAAATATCTTAGCTCTAGCTCTTTGAGTTCTTTAAAACAAGATTGTTTAAGTTTTTACTATATGCATATAGGGAAAATCAATGACCCCCATGGGGCGGGGCCAATTTTGACGCCAGGGCTTTTATTTGAACAAACTTGGTAGACACTCATTAGAAGATGTTTCATGCTGAATATCTTAGCTCTAGCTCTTTGGGTTCTTTAAAAGAAGATTTTTTAAGTTTTTACTATATGCATATAGGGAAAATCAATGACCCCCTGTGGCGGGGCCAATTTTGACCCCAGGGCTTTTATTTGAACAAACTTGGTAGACACTCACTAGAAAATGTTTCATGTCAAATATCTAAGCTCTAGCTCTTTCGGTTTTTTAAAAGAAGATATTTAAAGTTTTTTTCTTTCGGTTGCCATGGCAACCAGAGTTCTGCATGGAATTAAATTCTTGAACAATTTTTTAAAGGTGACCACAAAAGGAACATTCCTGTGAAGTTTGGATGAAATTGGCTGAGTGGTTAATAGGAGATGTCATTTGAAGTAAAAGTTTACGGACGGACGACGGACGGACGCCGGACGAAATGCAATCACAAAAGCTCATCCTGTCACTTTGTGACAGGTGAGCTAAAAACGCTTATGCCTAGAAACTGATGATTGCTCATGACTAGTTGATGACCCTTATTGATTTTGTGGTCAATTGTAGATCAAAACTTTCCGATCAATAACCTGACAATTCATTGGCTGTTAGCCCTCAAACTTCATAGGTGCATTGTACTTTGCTAGTAGATGACCCCTATTGATTTTTGGGTCAAGGGGTCAAGGTCATATTGACCTTGTAGGTAAAAATTGTGTCCGATCAATAACTTGACAAGCCATAGGCTGTTGACCCTCAAACTTTGTAGGTGCATTGGTCTTGGCAAGTAGATGACCGCTACTGATTTTGTGGTCATTGCTATAATGTCATAGTCATATTGACCTTGTAGCTAAAAACGATTTCTGATCAATAACTTGACAAACCATGGGCCTTTGGTCCTCAAACTTCGTACATGGATTGTTCTTGGCGAATATATGACCCCTTTTTACTTTGGAGTCAAAGGTCAAGGTCACCTTATCCTGGTATGTCAAGACGGTTTCCTATTAATAACTGGACAACCGATTGACTCTTGACCTTCAAACTTCAGATGCATTGCTTATAGTCAGAAGATGACCACAATGGTATTTTGGGGTCAAGGGGACAGAGGGCAATATCACATTGACCTTATAGGTAAAAACGTTTACTGATCAATATTTCAACAACTCATTGGTGAAGTTTGTAACTCCCGAAGACAGCGAAAAACATCATTCCTTTTTTATGTGACCTAAATTATGTTCGGTGCGCCAAAGTAAAGCAATTTCTTTTTATTCTATAAGTTTCTTATAATTGGCAAGGCTGTATCTAGAGTTGCCATGCAACGCAGCAGAACATCTATGCACTCTCATAGAGACTCGTCTGTGAAACTTTTGCCGGAAATAGGTAGGCTTATTGATGAGTCATTGACGCGAATACCAGCAACATTATATAACACAGCAATTTCTTTTATCTCAAAGTTTTTTTATGGCAGGCTGATCCTTGTTGTTGCCACTAAATGTGAAACAAATAACAGAATATATAATTATAGCCTTAATTTATGCCTTTGCAACGATATGCTTGTGAGACAATCATTAGCTGCATATCAGCTATATATGTAAAATCACAAAATCAATGACATGAAACCTTGCTAATTAGAAAACTTATAAGTAAAGGTGAAACGTTTGAGTGAAGACTCAAGACAAGCCCGGGGTTCTAAGAATACACGTCATTCTAAAACAGACAACTTTTTGAAAACAAATTTCAGCTTTACAAAGTGTTTGTCTCTCTCAGTACAAGAACATGTTATTTGAAGCTGCTTTTTCGCATGCATACATTACAGTTCTTAGAGAAAGCTAAATGTCACCAGGCTAATTCCTAACAAAACAAGAGATTTTCATGCGTACTAACAAATACTTTTGTGTCCTTTTCTCGATATCAGAATAAAATATATAAGATACCATTGCACTTATCTAACTAGTATTATTTACATAGACCAGACCTTCGGAAGTTTTCCATAAAATAACATGTGATAACAGCAACATATAACATAACAGCAGGTAAACTAACAGTTACTTATAAAGTATGGTGCAAATGAAAACGGTTCCAGTATTTATCGGTCAACGGAAAAAGAATGCGGTGTTTAAATTCAGTGTTGTACGGTGCTCCAATATGCGAGTCAATAGGCCTTTTTTCAACATATATATTCCCTAAAATTTACAATACAAACACACAATTTTGTATGGAACTTGAATTTATGCCTAACCATAATGTATACACGAGCTCGTAAGGTCATAGAACAAATACATTGTTGTTTTAACACATGTTTTTGTGACAAGTACGAGTCATGTTGAGGTAGACACGATCTTTTGTAAAAACTATTTCTTCGAAGTATGTAATTTTTTGTGAATTGTGTTGTGCTAGATTAACGATAAATTGTTTCAAAAATTCGATGGAGTACTTAAACAATTGAAAAAAATTTGCAATGTCCAGCAGTAAGATATTTTGTAAGCTATTACCTGCAATTTGTTTATCCCGCCATTAATATTTTGTCCAGAAATATACGGTGTCTCGGTCAGAAGTATGATATTTTGACGTTGCGCCGAAAAGTTGTGGTAAACACCCTATCACCGTGAATTAGATGATAAAAAATGATATATACCTGCTATTATTTTCTCATAATAAAGAAAAGGCACAATATTGCCTCAAATAATCATTCGCAAAGAGTCTCTTCCAGTTGTTTATTTAACCCTTTTTTCTAAAGAAAGTGTAGGAAAATATTTAGTGTTGTGAAATCTTTCGATAATTTAGTAGTGTTCGTTTACAGTACGCATGCGCTGTAAAATTGGAGTAAAATAATAATGGCGGAAAATAGTCCAGGATAATATTTTCTCAAAATTTGAAGGAATTGCGGTAAGTATCTTGAAACGTTTGTGACTAATAAGTAAATTATTTTTTACTTAAATGAAATGTTAACATAACAAGTCAAAAACAATTAACTCGCTTAGGTAAATTACCAATGTTTTATCAATTGAAAACGAAAGTTGGATTTTGGGGAATTTCCGCGTGAGGCTAATAATCTTAAATATCAACACACATTAATTAAACTTTTTAGTTTATTAAGCTCTTCCTTAAATGAATTCATATATTGATAAATAATTGCAACAGCTAGTCCTATTGTATGGGGTATGATTATTAAAATGTGTGTGTGTACCGAAAACGAAAGTAGAAAATGGCAATTTATTTACCCTTTGTTTATACATTTTATTGAAAAATATTAGTTCTGGCTTCCAAAACTTTATAAGCCGCTCTTTAACATTTTTGTTTTTCATCTGATGCGGCATTAAAGTTTCGGATTAGACCCGTTACGAAACCTAACCAGAATAACATAAGTTGATTTATTCTTGTTTTTCACTTGCAAATACACTTGACCCAATCAATTATTGTGCATTTTACGATAAAACAATTATTTTAATATCGTTCTATAACAATTTAAGTATTAAAATATTACTACCGACATTAAAATTGCCTATTTAACTGTAAATCATCAATTTACGCCGACTGTATTCGGCCATGACATTCAGGTGCCACGCGAGACCTCGTATGACGTCATTGGCGGGAACAGATTTGAATAGAGTCGTGTGTTATATTTAGAACATTTTGTTGACATGATTTCGATATTTTTATTCAAGATAATGTTCTTTTTTATTTTCATAAATTTTTTAGTACTTAAATATGATTTTATTGAATATAAAAGTCAGTAAATCACCTTTTTCCATATCTTTAAAAAAAGTAATCTATAAAAATATTGGAGGCACATGGGTTCATAAAGGTCAATCTCGTAATCACGTGGTCAAACATTTTGGCAATATGGCGGCCATTTATGACTTTTATTTAAATTAGAACATGCAATGTATATAACATGTAACATTTTTATAACAGTATCAAATTTAACCATTTTTGGCATGTAATTTCATTTTATTATTATAAAATATCATATGAAGAAAAAACTTTATGAACTATAAGTCTTATTCGGTATCTTCTGTTCTTCACGTTAAGTGTACTGAATCAACCGTTTCCAAATGTCGCGAATTGCCAGGTAATATGCGGTATGTCTTAATACCGGAGATGACTCATATCCTCAGATATGACTTTATAAATATGACTTATATTTTACAAAGTAATTATTTTTTTATTATATTTTCTTGATACTAAGTTTTATAATAATAAGATGATTTTACATGCAAAATATTGTTAAATTTTGGTCAATAAATAAAAAAGTTATATAAGTTATATTCGAATTACGTTCTATAAAAGTCATATCTATAGCGGACAGAAGAAACCGAATATGACTTATATTTTATAAATTGATTATTTTTTTATACAGTGTTTTATAATAATAAAATGATTTTATATTCAATATATTGTTAATTTGGTTTATAAATAAAAAAGTATTTACATAAATAACCACAAACCAGGGAAGGAATTTTCTCTGTGTCACGCAGTTACATGTACTGCATGTGCGTGGAAATAACCAATTATAGAACATATCAAATAGAGGAGTGGAAACTGGATAAAAAATAATGTTTGTTCAATTAATGAATATTTGTAAATCATTTATATGGTCACACGTTTACAATTGATTTCAATTTTTAGCTCACCTGTCACAAAGTGACAGGGTGAGCTTTTGTGATCGCTTTTCGTCCGGCGTCCGTCCGTCGTCCGACCGTCCGTCGTCCGTCCGTAAACTTTTACTTTAAATGACATCTCCTCATAAACCACTAAGCCAATTTCATCCAAACTTCACAGGAATGTTCCTTTGGTGGTCACCTTTAAAAATTGTTCAAAGAATTTAATTCCATGCAGATCTCTAGTTGCCATGGCAACCGAAAGAAAAAACTTTAAATATCTTCTTTTAAAAAACCATAAGAGCTAGAGCTTAGATATTTGGCATGAAACATCTTCTAGTGAGTGTCTACCAAGTTTGTTCAAATAAAAGCCCTGGGGTCAAAATTGGCCCCGCCCCGGGGAGTCATTGATTTTCCCTATGTGCATATAGTAAAAACTTAAACAATCTTCTTTTAAAGAACCCAAAGAGCTAGAGCTTAGATATTTAGCATGAAACATGTTCTAATGGGTGTCTACCAAGTTTGTTCAAATAAAAGCCCTGGGGTCAAAATTGGCCCCGCCCCAGGGGGGTCATTGATTTTCCCTATATGCATATAGTAAAAACTTAAAAAATCTTCTTTTAAAGAACCCAAAGAGCTAAAGCTAAGATATTTAGCATGAAACATGTTCTAATGGGTGTCTACCAAGTTTGTTCAAATAAAAGCCCTGGGGTCAAAATTGGCCCCGCCCCAGGGGGTCATTGATTTTCCCTATATGCATATAGTAAAAACTTAAAAAATCTTCTTTTAAAGAACCCAAAGAGCTAAAGCTAAGATATTTAGCATGAAACATGTTCAAGTGGGTGTCTACCAAGTTTGTTCAAATAAGAGCCCTGGGGTCAAAATTGGCCCCGCCCCGGGGGGTCATTGATTTTCCCTATATGCATATAGTAAAAACTTAAAAAATCTTCTTTTAAAAAAACTCAGAGAGCTATGGCTAAAATATTGAGCATCAAACATGTTCTAATAGGTGTCTACCAAGTTTGTTCAAATAAAAGCCCTGGGGTCAAAATTGGCCCCGCCCGGGGGGGGGGTCATTGATTTTCCCTATATGCACATTGTAAAAACCTAAAAAATCTTCTTTTAAAGAACTCAAAGAGCTATGGCTAAGATATTTAGCATCAAACATGTTCTCATAGGTGTCTACCAAGTTTGTTCAAATAAAAGCCCTGGGGTCAAAATTGGCACCCCCCAGGGGGTCATTGATTTTCCTTATATGTGTATAGGAAAAACTTAAAAAATCTTTTTTGAAAAAACCCAAATAGCTAGAGTTAAGATATTAAGCATGAAACAGCTTTTAGTGAGTGTCTACAAAGTTTGTTCAAATAAGAGACCTGGGGTCAAAATTGGCCCCGCCCCGGGGGTCATTGATTTTTTTTATATGTGTATAGCAAAAACTTAAAATCTTCTTTGAAAAAACCCAAATAGCTAGAGTTTAGATATTAAGCATGAAACATCTTGTAGTAAGTGTCTACAAAGTTTGTTCAAATAGAAGCCCTGGCCCGGCCCCAGGGGTGTCATTGTTTTTAACTATATGTGTATAGTAAAAACTTTAAAAAAAATCTTCTTTTAAAAAGCCCAATGAGCTAGAGCTTAGATGTTTAGCATGAAACATCTTCTTATGGGTTTCTACCAAGTTTGTGCAAATAAAAGACCTTGGGTTAAATTGGCCCTGCAACGTTGGGGGGGTGGGGGTTGGGGGGGGGCTATATACAGGTGAGCAACCCCAGGGCCATCATGGCCCTCTTGTTTTAAATACCGGGTATTGAATGCCAACCACAGGTGCTTGAAACAAACTTTTTTTATGTTCTATATGGGCTATATACTAAGTATATACTATAATCTTAATATACATATATATAATATAGGCTGATTATGTAAAATATTTGATAAAGTGACAAGCGCCTGTGATGCCAAATGTTTTCAAACATTTTTTTTCCAAAATGAAAATGAAAATCACACCAAATCACCTCCCCGTGTCTCTAACAAATACTGCCGAATTTCTTTGTAATCTCGTACGTCTGCTAAGTGGGTGTTAAGACCCCTCATTTCAGATATTAATAAACAGGGAATATGCCAAGAAAATTTGTGTCAGTGTTTCTTTGTATGAATTAAATTATGATTATAAAATGTTAAACTTTAATAATTATTCAGGTTGTAAACACTATAATTTGCTTATTATTAACCACGGTATATTTTGAACAGCAAGGACGGGATTTAACCTAATCAATAACTTCGTAATTGCAGCAACAACAATAAAATTAGAATGGAAAATGCTTTAATCTTTATAGTTACTAGTCATTACTTGTCATTTATAGTTATATGATAAAAGAAATAAAGTTTTCATAGCTTATATATCTTTTTTGTTTTATCAAATGGTTTCTTTACAATATGCATATGTTTAATTATAACTGCATAGAGTCGTCAGTGTCCTTATGAAACATTAAAAAAATCTTGAAAGCTAAATATTGCCTGGCAATTGATATATTGCTGTATCGCCGATAATTCTTTACCGATATATCAATACAAAAATACTGATCGATCACACCATTAGTTTTTTGTCCCTGTAATTGATTTTTTTAGGAACACTTATCACATTAACTGCGAATTCACCTATATTCGTGGTCATGAAATTTCGTGGTTTTATCAAAACGGGCATTTTCGTGGGTTCTTAAATTTGTGGATTTTCAATTTCTTGTAAAAAAATAAAATAAATAACCTAATGCAAAGTAATCTTACACTTAATCGCCACGCATTTCACTTACCGCATGTACATATATTTAAGTATCACACAGTGCTTGCCAATAAATGTAATCCTTGCCACTGGGCGGCATTCATTACACAACAATGCAGAAAAGCGCTGATGCATGTTTGTAATATATAGAATAGAGACATGGCAAGAAGTACTTGTTGGGATGAAATTTCGTCGGATCTTAACCTACCCAAGAAAACCACAAAAAATCATGCCGTACATGCACGAATAATAATGAATTTACAATACCCAGTATTTTGGACTTTGAGACCATAATAACTTATTTATATAAAATTTAACATAATTTTTTTTGTTTTTGTTTGTTTAGATATTAATAGAGTATCAGGATGGCACATCAACTTCAGTTAGAGAAGGAAAAATACAGACAGTGGGTAAAGGCTGGTTTAGGACTTGGATATCTAAAGGAGGGACTGGTACCATTCTGTAATGACATAGCTGACCAACAACATAAGGATATCTTACAAAACATTCGGTCTAGAAAGTCACTATCATCAACTGTTACATGTGGCATCTGTCGAGTTGAAACTCTCAAGCCAGACCATAAGCCAGTACCTGGGAATGCTGGAAACAAAGTTTGTCCTCTTGGGCAAGTAAAATGCAACTGTTGCTGTAAGGGCAAAATTGCTTGTCCGAACAACATATGTGGCGCCATCTATGATTTTATTGTGCATCATCATGCCTCCACACCACCTGCACCTAACTGGAAAAACAGCGATGCTCAACAGTGGTTGACAGACCCTTGGAGCATTTGTAAGTGTTTTATAAATGTTCCAGGGTACGAGCAGAAACAATCTGCTGGTGAAACTGATTGTACTGGGTTATTACATCTAATGATAAATAACCAGTATTTTCATAGCCACATTGGATGTGATGTCACAGGAACAAACAACCTTTTTTCAAAGGTAAATCATTCATAAAATATCTTTTACTTATCTTTTATCAGTTCTATTGTAATGTAAATGCTGTATATTCAGCATTTAAGTAAAAGAGAAAATAATATTTATACTCCCGCACAACGAAGTTGTAAGGGCGTATACCGGACTGACAGCTCATCATCAGCTCGTCCATCCGGCCGTCGGGTTTTCCTTGTCTGCCCAATAAATCAAGATTCCTTTGACCCACAGTCTTTATATTTGGCAGGAGGTTAGTCATGATAAGTATGTAACCCTATTGATTTTGAGGTCACTGGGTCAAAGGTCAAGGTCACAGAGGCTTTTACTTCAATAAGTTTGATATTGATTTTGACATTTTTACATTTGAAGCATAAAAATTATGTTCTCATATATTCATCATAAAACACCCCAGGCAAAGCTGCATGAATGGGGGTATTCAAGTCATGCAGTGGCAGTTTCAGTTTTGAGCTCAAAGGTAAAGGTCACTTTGATCTTTGCCACAAAAACATGTAGAATGCATAATTTAGCAATGCAATGGCTTAATACCTTCAGATTTGGCAGGGGACTTGTCTTTGGGATTTATTCTGACAAAGAGGTATGCGGGGGTATTCACGCCATGACAGTGGCAGTTCTAGTTTAACAAAGAATGTTATGAAGTTATTCACCCCTTTAATGATTCACAACAAATGTATAAAAATCCACCAATCGTTTATGATAACAATTCACAAGGCTTGTGGTTAATATTTACTGTAAACATGTACAATTGTAGATTTGTATATAGAACTTTTTGTATACAGGCCTATATTTCCTTATCCCATGTGTCCAAATATAGGCCTGGGCATTCCCAAAGCAAACTTTGTCCTTTTTTTCCCCAATCCCAAAAAAATCACTTTCCTGAAGTCGGTGATTTGAAAAAAAGGTACAAACATTTTGTATTTGGTGTGGACGTTCCAAATGTTTCAGATATCTTTTAAATTCTTATCAGTTTCAGTAATATTTATTTAGCTTTGTTTAAAGAGTTTGCACATTTTATATGCTGGCATTTTTTTCCCAAATAATAAATTTCCCAATTATTTTTTTCCTTATTTGAATAAAAAATTAAGTCTTAGACACAATGTCCCCAAATTTGCAATGAATATTATACATGTAAGAAAAAGGCCTGGTATAATTTATGATTGCGTCTTTTATGAAGGTAAGTACCTAAACAAGTGTCAACAAAACAATTTTGATTGCTTAACAGTATACATACATGTATATGCATAGAACAATATTAAAACCTGTGTTTTCTATTCAATAGGTACGTCAGTATAGAAATAATATTTTCCACTCAAGCAGCATGGAATTAGAAGAAAGTGAGGCCAATTCATATATTGACGATATGATAGCAGTTTTACAAGATGGTAAAGAGCTATTACAACAACCAGATGCCCAGATAGCAGTGAATAAACTTCAAGATGTAAGTGTAAATAATTAATTATATCAGTTTGAAATCTTTATGGAGTTAACTTAAAATGATTAAAGATAACAGTCATGCCACATAATTCAGGACAAAGTTAAGGTAACCGAGTTTGAAGTGGTAATAATAATTCCCTTAAGTTAATTGATAAAGTCACATGAAAATATATTGTACCTATAAAATGTTAAATTATAAACAAAAGAGATCTTAGTTGTAAAGAACTTCTAAATTCCAAAAACTTTGAAATCTGAACAATTTTAAGGGTCCTGAAATTCTATATAATTCATACATCTGAAATTAAGGAATTCTAAATTCTGATATTGTGGTAAGGTTTGGATTATATCAATAAAAAAATTACTTTAAAATATTCGAAAATTGAAAAAGCGTGTGAAGAATATTATACGTTGTATTGAAGAGTAAATATTATAAATTACAAAGCTACATTTTTTATGATAGAAAATATAATAAAAACTGATTTCTTTTAATCAGCTGAAGAAGAAAGATTTCATTATTACCACTGAAAGCTTTGATGAAATTCTAAGAGAAATTAAGGAAGAACTGGCAAAAATTCTGAAATCGACAGAAAGTGCTGCAACTAAAGAAGAATATGATGATCTGAAGAAGAAGCTAATAGACCTTGAAGCCAAGATGTCTGGTGAAAAGGAGGGAAAGCTGGAAACTGAAAAAGAACTTGAAGGACTAAAGAAAACAATAAAAGAACTTGAATTCCAAATGTCTCAGGAAACACTTGAGAAAGCCGAATTGAAAAAGAAATTTACTGTTCTAGAGATACTTGTATCAGAACAGAAAGAGGTAAAACAAATTTCTTTCTGTTTGTTAACTAAAATGAGCCGCGTCACGACAAAACAAACATAATGTGTTTGCGACCAGTGTGGATCCAGACCAGCCTGCGCATCCGCGCAGTCTTATCAGGATCCATGCTGTTCGCTTACAAACCCTATTACAAGTACAGTAACTGATAGCGAACAGCATGGATCCTGATCAGACTGCGCGGATGCGCAGGCTGGTCTGGATCCATGCTGGTCGCAAACCAATTATGTCAGTTTTTGTCGTGACGCGGCTCAAGTGATGTATGTTAAGCGTATACATGTATATAGACATCTTTCCATTAAAGAAGGTCAAGACATGATAGGTAATTGTAAAGAAATTACTTTATGATTTAAGTTCTTGTAGTAATATACTTTAAATTACTTTATGATTTAAGTTCTTGTAGTAATATACTTTAAATTACTTTATGATTTTAGTTATTGGTGGTAATATACTAATAAATTACTTTATGATTTAAGTTCTTGTGGCCATGTGGTAATATACTTTTTAACTGAAAAAAAAAACCCAGATTTATCCTATGTACAATGGGTACAAAATGTATATAGCCTTAATTATCCAATGCTTACAAATATTGTTGGAATTTTTAAAAGTAAATTTTCCAAAATCCCCCGTATGAAAAAAAAAAGTTTTAGCATATTTCCTGAAAAGCATATGGCACATGCAGAAACTCCTTGCTTAAAGGGATATTCAGGTAAAATATCATAATGATCTTATGTACTCAAATCACGCCCTAAAAATGACATTTCTTAAAAGTCCCAGCATGAAATTCTGTTTTAATTTTATTTATTTTTGTTTAACGCGTAAATTTATCTATATATGTTTAACAAAATTTAGAAGCCAACAGAATCACTGAATAGTTTAAAGACAAAGAAGTCGTGTGACTTGAACAAACTCTTGAAGTTACAATAACAGATATTGTGGATATTGTATGATAGAAACAAGTGTAAGTCATTCATTTGACATGTTCTTTAATGTTTCCAGAGTTCACTGTGCCAACTATTGTGAAATCTTAGCGCACTAACCTGACCCATGCGGGTCAAGTTAGGAAACCAACATTCTATTCTTTATATGGAGAAAAGTTATGTTCCTTTGACTGTCTTATGTATTCATTTTGAGGGCATTTACAGAATAATGAATGGAAAAAAAAACAAAGTAAGAAATTAAAATGTTGCCTTTGTCCCCTTTAAAGGCCAAAACTCATTAAAAAAAAGGTCAAACTTAAAAGTTGAATATAGCTATTCTTACCCTGATGAAGGTCAAACATATAAGGTTTAATGTAAGCTGGCTGAGCTTCCTAATGGTGAAGGTCACATTTAAAAGGTTTAATGTTAGCTATGCTTACGCATCATTTAATGTAAGCAGTTCTTGCTCATGGTGATGGTCACACTTAAAGATTAAATGTTAGCTATGCTTGTTCATAGTGAAGATAACACTTATGGTGAAGGTCACACTTAAAGGTTGAATGTTAGCTATGCTTACTCATGGTGAAGATCACACTTAAAGGTAAAATGTTAGCGATGCTTGTTCATGGTGAAGGTCACACTTAAAGGTTAAATGTTAGCTATGCTTACTCATAGTGAAGATCACACTTAAAAGTTAAATGTTAGCTATGCTTACTCATGGTGAAGATCACACTTAAAGGTTAAAAGTAAGTATGCTTGTACTAAGTGAAGGTCACACTTAAAGGTTAAATGTTAGCTATGCTTGTACTTAGTGAAGGTCACACTTAAAGGTTAAATGTTAGCTATGCTTACTCATGTTGAAGATCACACTTAAAGGTTAAATGTAAGTATGCTTGTACTTAATGAAGATCACACTTAAAGGGTAAATGTTAGCTATGCTTGTTCATGGTGAAGGTCACTCTTAAAGGTTAAATGTAAGCTATGCTGGTTAAATGTAAGATTTGCTTGCCCATAATGAAGATCACACTTAAAGGTTAAATGTTTGCTATGCTTGTTCATAGTGAAGATCCTACTTAAAGGTTAAATGTAAGCTATGCTGGTTAAATGTAAGATTTGCTTGCTCATAATGAAGATCACACTTAAAGGTGAAATGTTAGCTAAGCTGGTTCATGGTGAAGGTCACATTTAAAAGTTTAATGTCAGCTATGCTTGCTCATTGTTAAGGTTACACGTAAAGGTTAAGTATGATATCTTGTTTGTTATGTTAGCCTTAGGGTTTGCCTTACCTATCGAATGATTTTCTTCAATCATTGCTTAGTTTACACAATTCAGCACTGATAAATGTTGAGATTGTTGTCCAGGGACAGATTTTGTTTCAAAATAAGGTATAGAACTATGAACTTTGATAATCATGTTGATAATTTTAGCTTCAAATTTGTACAACTTAGAAACATTCTTTGAGATTATAAAATGTGATCCAATGACCTACTCCTAAATTGCAGAGCATTTTCTTACAAATAATTTTGGGTGACTGAGTGATTAACCCATTACCCGATATACACGCCTTAAAACGTCTTTTTCACCCCCCCCCCCCTTATTGTTGTCTCAAATGGTGAAAACAATGCCTTATTTAGGCTCTCAACACTTGTTTTTGTTTGAGAAAAGTTGTTTAAATAAAAAAAGTGACCACTTTTCGGCAAGGCCCCCCCCAACCAAAAGATACATCAGGGGTTGCCAGAAGCGGGATATGACCCCTTTTGTTTGGGGGTTTGAAGGTGGGCGGCAGTCCCCCTCATCGCCAAGAAAATGTTGGACATGTGACAGGCTAAAACTGACCCCAGATCGATCATGAGGTAATGTGTAACCTACGCTGAAAAGAATTTGACTTTATCTCAATTCATTGAGAAGTTGCAGCACTTTCAAATCAATTTTGATGGAAAAAATCAATGCAAAATAGTGATTTTTTTGGCAATTTTGAGATGTCTCCTTGTTGCCATGGTAACAGGAAATTTAAGCCTGGGAATGTTGTTACAAAGGCAATGGTTGAGTGAACATTTGTACCAAGTTTGATTAGTATTGAAGAAGTTTATATAGTTTTATAGCAATTTGAACTTGTAACGGGAGACTTTTCAATGAAAACAGCCATTTTTTCAGAAAATGCTCATGAAGTAATGGGTTAAATAGGGTGATCATAATGGTTATTATGCTAAAATATAAAAATGAAATAAAATATGTACACAATTCTGTACATACCTTTGGGCATTAAATACTATTTATATCTTGTTGATTAGTTTTGAACAAAAATGTCTTTTTTGGAGTAAAGAAGATGATTTGTTTTTTGCAGGAAATGGCAAAAATTACGACAGTAACTTCCTTTGGTCAAAGTCAGGCAGATTATGAGCAAACCAAGTTAGGTGAGTGAATATTTGTTTTGATGGTGTACATACAAGTGTATGATATTGCCATTAATATGAAAACAAACAAAGAACAACTGAAGATCCTCGTTACTTTATTTTTTTAGAAATTTATTTAAAGAGACTCCACTGAGGTCTTTTGATATAACAGGACTGGAAATAATTTTTTGAGATTATCACTCCATTTGATGTAGATCTATACTAATAATTTATGTGCGAAATTTCAGATCATTACCTCGCTCCATTTTTCCAACATAATTCTTATAATAGTGAAAAATAACCCAAAATGGAAAGGAGTTTAAACGCTTTTTACTCAAATCAGACAGAGAATATCATAAACATACGATTTTCAATGTTTTTTGTTTTTTTCTTAATTATATTTTATTTATATTTCTGTTTAAAGTACTCATGATGATCTATGTGAAAAATTTAGATTTTATGTTTTTAATAGCCTTACAAACCTCAGTGGAGTTCCTTTAATGGTTTAGTACTTCGGATCATACAATATCATTAAATTTATAATGTATTTAAATTAATGCAATTAACATTTGATTATACTATACCACATAATGTGGTTGGTGCTATACTGGAATCACCTTGTGGCACCATTAGGTCAGTCATTCCATCTATTTGTTTCCATCGTGCCCGCTCTATAAATCATATACCCCTATAAAGATTTTCTTCAAATGCTTACCTCAACCTGTCAACCTGCAGGACCAATGCCACGAATGTACCAGCTCAAGGTCAATATCATCCTTGAAGAACAAATGCCAAACATCAAACTTTTTTTTCTTTTCTCTATAAATGTTATACTCACTGTCAGTGTGATTTACCTTAAACTTGCCTCAACAAGGCAATGTGCAAAACAAATGTCTGTGCATGGTTTTCTCAAGGCCAAAGTCAGCTATGGAGGTCAAAAATCAAATATGGGACATTGTCTTCTTCCCTTTATGCATCCTTTACCTTTTGAAGATTTTTCTTTCAAACTTGACTCATATGTACATCTTAACAGGCAATGTTTAGAACCGATGCCTCTGCAGTGCTGGCTCACAGTTTCTTTGATTATCAAAGGTCAAAAATCAGACTTCTTTAAACTGGCATTACTGTTTACTGCAACATGAAAAAACATGCCACAGCTGTGCCGGTTGAAGGTCAATGTAACCCTTGAAGGTCAAAAGTAATATATCGGACATTTTTCCCCTCTGCTTTATAAATACTACACCTCAGGTAACCAATGGAAGGTAGAAAGTCATATATCAAACATTTTGTCTCTCTATTAATACTACACTTGTCAAGGATTGTCTTCAATTTTGACACTGATCACCAGAATAAATCAATGTGATGAACCAACGCCACTGCTTTACCAGCTCAACGTTAAGATCACCCTTGGCTCTGTAAATGTTTCTTTCCCCTTTAAGATCTTGTCATGAGGGAATCTTGTTATGTTTAGATTATTTGTAATTTGTAAGTTTTGCTGATTTTATTGACTGCTCAATAAATTTCAGGTTGTCGTACTCAATTGATAGAACATTATCGCAGTGATGTACTTAAAGTATCAGCAATACCTTTACAACCAGATGAGGAAAATTATAACTTCAGTGATGTTTATATAAGACCCACTATAACAAACAAGATAAAAAAGAACAGAGGGGAGTCTGAGGAAAAAGAAATAGAGTCCATGTCAGAGATTTTCACAAAAAACAGGGAACCACAGAAATTTATTTATGTTGTTGGAGATGCAGGGTCTGGTAAGAGTAGTTTCTGTAAATATTTGATCAACTGTTGGTGTATGGCACACAGTGATGGACACAATGAAGATGATGAGTTTGAAGGAGTCAAGGAAATGAAGAAATTTGATTTTATGTTTTATATTTCTCTTAGACATAGCATAAAGATCCGAAGTATCCAAGAAATGCTTGAAATGCGATATGATAAGATAAAAAATTTAAGCAAACTTCTGGAAAATGATTCTGAAAAGATAATTATTTTGCTTGATGGTTTAGATGAATGGTCTTTTGACAGTGAGACTAGGAATGAGTTCCAGGCAGGCCTTCCGGAACGTGACTTCACAAAGAAATACACGATTGTTACTACATCACGACCATGGAAAATTCACAGTTTGAGAGTAAGTAATAGAGAGATTCATCAATTATTGAAATTAAAAGGGTTTGATAAAACACATGAAAAAGAAATGATTAAGAAAACAATAACAGCATTGAAAGAATCATTAGATCCTAGTGAGTGTGAACAAAAGCTTAAGGTACGTTCTGTGGTTGGCCTGAAACAGGTACCAATTATGCTGCAGCAATTGGTTTTGTCTATGGTGTGATGGTAAAACTTGATAAAACCTCAAGGTGTGCTATTTATACTGGTATGTTTAGAACTTTATTTCACCTGGAATTTCAATAAAACTTTAGGAAAGAATACAGAATGTATGGAAAGTTCTCAGAATGTTGAACTCCCTCAGTATTTAACAGATGTAGAGATATGTAGATTAAATAGTCATCTTATATATGGTGTGTCGCACTTGGCTTATGAAGACAATGTTCAATTATCCTAAGGATAAGTCCTTAACATTTGACAAATCTGTGTTTGATCATTTAAAAATATCACAAGATGTGCGACAAACATGTCTGAAACTGGGAATTTTGACAGAAGATAAATGTCCTTCTTTATCTGTATCCAAACCTAAAAGCTCATTGTTCTCTTTCATTCACAAATCAATGCAAGAATTTCTGGCTGCAGTGAATATTGGTATAAATTTCAATGCAAAAATGTGTTCATCAGATAGTACGGGAAATGTTGAATTAGTCAAAAAGTTTATTGATGAGGTTTTTCAGAAATGTGCAACAGTAAATGACATATTAGAGCAGTCAAATGTTATCATTATGCTATCTGGTCTTGAACCTAGATTAGCAATACATGTTTCAAAATACATATATGATACTGTGTCAGAAGAATCTCGTGTTCAAGAATACAGGAGAACAATACGTAGTAACATTCATAGCGATCATGATTGTATTACTGATATTCAAGAGCTTATGTTTGACTCAATTGAAGAATTAAATGCATCATGTAGTGTAGATAGTAATCGTGTATCTTATATAGGAGATTTGGTCATTGATTATAACGATGATTGTGATTTTGTTTGTTCAAGTATTGACCAGCATCAAATTGTTCCTGACTCTGTTTTGTCAATTTATGTAGTTGACATCAACGCAAAAAAAGTTAAATTTACAAAATATTTACCAATGTTTCATCATCTTGAAAAAATTGAAATACAATATGGATGTAAAACACGAAGTGATACTAGTAGTACACAGAGTAATAAACAGTTGATTGATGAGGCTAACAATTGTGTTTCTGAGACAATTAAACAATTAAAGTAAACACTTCAACATTAAAATCTCTGTCTCTTGATGATGTCTCTTTCTATGACGAGTATTACCCAGTGTGTAAAACAGTTGTTAGTTACATACCTAGTATGATCAATCTTGTAGCAATACGTATGAGTAGTATGAGTATTTTTTAGTCCTATAACAAGGAGTAGTATACATAGTATAACAATGAGTCATGATGATACTACTACATTTTGTAATTTTCTTGAGGGCACCTGTCATCTTGAACAAATACATCTTTTTTGATGTTAAATGTGAGTGTGAGAACCAGCATGATGTAAATTTATCAAAACATCAACAACTTCAGTCCCTTTGTTTGTTTAAAGCTGTTAGTGTGATAGATGCTGATACTACAAACCTTGAAATATTTACATTTAATGAATTGAAATATAGTAATTATGAGAAAATATTTGATATTAAGTTTAGAAAATTTTTCTAACAAAATTAAAAGAACTTATATTGTATGTAGGTGAGAACAATAAATCTCAATTAATATCAATACCCAAATCATAACAAAAGAAAATTGTCACAGTATTACCATTGTTACACAATCTCAGTAAGCTTTTGAGTTTTATGTGACTTGTAGGTTAACTGAACAAAAATAATACAGTTTACCTTTAGAGATGAAGAGTTTAAAGAACATTCAGCTTTGGGGAATGTCAAAATGAGTTTGACAACATGGCAGAAGTTTGTTTGATTTAGTCCTTCCTCAATATTTTCCTCATACTGTAGATGTGAGTGTTAGTGCACTTGTTATTATTAAAAGGAGATGGTGAGGAGTTTTGATGATGATGAGGTTTTTAACATTGATAAGACAAGCAAATAAAGAGGAGGGAAGGGGGAAATGATGCTAGACAGTAATGTTAAAAGATGGAGATTCAGTTATTTCATGTTAAACAGGATAATGGTTGGTTTGTCTTTTCAACAAAAAAGTGATAAAGTATACAGGTAGTATTTAAACTAAATTATTGCATGTTAAAAGAGATAATTTTTTTGTTCATTTTTGACATAAAAGAAAATGATCTGAATTTTTATCAAAGTGAGATAGAATACATGTAGTTAACATAGTGTTTAAACTAAATTATTGCATGTTAAAAGAGACGATAACTTGGATTTTCATTTTCAACAAAAAAAAAAAAAAAAATGATCTGAATTTTTAACATAGTGAAAGAGAATACATGCAGTTAACATAGTGCTTAATTTAAATTATTTCATGATAAAAGACATAATTATTAAAATAAACATTATCAGCAAAATAAAAATATAATACTTAAGTTACATATTGATATGTTAAATAATGAATGTAATACAATATGATAAATAACAATCATCAAAAACAGTTCAATAAATATCAATTTCTGATCATTGTAGTAATATTGATATTGATGAAAGTAATATTCAAATGTGTATTTCAATAAATAAATGAAAGAAATGCAGTGAAATATAAAGAAAATATAGGTAACTGTTTTGTTAGCTCACCTTGCACAAAGTGCAGGTGAACTTTTAGGATGGCCAACCAAATGGCGTCCGTCGTCTGTCGTCCGTCCACATTGTAAATATTCTAAGGACATCTTCTATGATACCGCAAGGCCAATGTTAATGAAACTTGGCAGGAATACTCTTTGTATGAAGCTCTATCAAGGTTGTTCAAAGAATTCCATTTCATGCAGAACTCTGGTTGCCATGGCAACCGAAAGAAAAATCTTTAAATATCTTCTTTTAAAGAACCGTAAGAGCTAGAGCTTAGATATTTGGCATGAAACATCTTCTAATGAGTGTCTACCAAGTTTGTTCAAATAAAATCCCTAGGGTCAAAATTGGCCAGCCCCAGGGGGTCATTGATTTTCCCTATATGCATATAGTAAAAACTTAAAAAATCTTCTTTTAAAGAACCCAAAGAGCTAGAGCTAAGATATTTGGCATGAAACATCTTCTAGTGAGTGTCTACCAAGTTTGTTCAAATAAAAGCCCTGGGGTCAAAATTGGCCCCGACCCGGGGGATCATTGATTTTCCCTATATGCATATAGTAAAAACTTAAAAAATCTTCTTTCAAAGAACTGTAAAAGCTAGAGCTTAGATATTTGGCATGAAACATCTTCTAGTAAGTGTCTACCAAGTTTGTTCAAGTAAAAGCCCTGTGGTCATAATTGGCCCCGCCCCCGGGGGTCATTGATTTTCCCTATATGCATATAGTAAACACTTAAAAAAATCTTCTTTTAAAGAAACCGTAAGAGCTAGAGCTTAGATATTTTGGCATGAAACATCTTCTAGTGAATGTCTACCAAGTTTTGTTCAAATAAAAGCCATGGGGTCAAAATTGGCCCCGTCCCAGGGGGTCATTGATTTTCCTATATGCATATATTTAAAAAACTTAAAAAATCTTTCTTTTAAAGAACTCAAAGAGCTAGAGCTAAGATATTTTAGCATGAAACATGTTCTAATGGGTGTCTACCAAGTATGTTCAAATAAAAGCCCTGGGTCAAAACTGGCCCTGCCCCCGGGGGTCATTGATTTTCCTTATATGTGTATAGCAAAAAAACTTAAAAATCGTTTTTTGAAAAAAAAAACCCAAATAGCTTGAGTTTAGATATTATGCATGAAACATCTTTAAGTAAATATCTACAAAGTTTGTTCAAATAAAAGCCCGGGGGTCAAAACTGGCCCTGCTCCAGGGGTGTCATTGTTTTTAACTATATGTGTATAGTAAAAACTTAAAAATCTTCTTTTAAAAAACCCAATGTCACAGCTAGAAATTAGATGTTTAGCATGAAACATCTTCTTATGGGTGTCTACCAAGTCCTGTTCAAATAAAAGCCCTTGGGTAAAAATTGGCCCGGGGGGGGGGGGGCTGTATACAGGTGAGCTACCTCAGGGCCATCATGGCCGTCTTGTTTAAAGATCAGGGATAGTTATGAAAAGTATAATTTGAAAAAGTAATAGGTTCTTTGAATTATAAATACATAAATAGATAAATAGATTAGCAAGTAAATAAATTAATGAATAAGTAAATATAATAAGTAATTTGAATGGAAATATCATAAAACAGAAATTTTATGTACAAGGTCAGCAAAAGTTAAAGATAAATATAACATTAAAATACCAGTTATATTATATAATATATGATAGGATAAGGGAATGGTATATGTAAATACCAGTTATATGATATATAGGACAAATGTTTGGTATATAAAAATACCATATATGTATATTATATGTTAAATATGCAAAGGAAATGGTATATATCAATACCAGTTATAAGATGTAAAGGAAAATGGAATGGTATAAATGAATACCAGTTATATGTTATATAAAGCAAAGGAATGTTATATGTAAAATTCCTGTTATACAATATTTAGACAATGGAATTATTTATATCAACACCAGTTATATGATATATAGGACAATGGAATGGTTATATATAAATACCTGTTAGATGATATATAGGACAAGTAAATTGTTTCATTGAGATGAGGACCATTTACATGTTATATTTTAGAGATTCCTTCTTGGATTGTTTTATATTGTAAAGATTGTAAAAATTTACAAATTGTAATTATTGGAAAACCATAAATGTGTACAAGTTAATACTGTTAGTCAGTATTATTCAAACAGTATCGTTAAAGGGTCTCGACTGAGGATAATATTTTCTTATTTTCTTGACATGATAGGACGGGAGTTATGTTGTTGAGGTTTCATACTATTTGAAGAAGATATATTATTTTTCATGTATAAAATTTGTATGCAAAATTTCAGATTATTTGCTCACTTTGTTTTTCCAAAATACTAGTTATCATTTTAGCTCGACTATTCAATGAATAGCTAATGCTACAAAAGTACTTACCGCATTGGCGTCAAACTTAGGTTACTTTTATGTGTGCAAGTTGGTATCTAAAAAACTACTGAATGAAAATTTCAATTGACATTCTTGTT